GGCGAACAGTCCCTCTGTCCCACTGTTTACTATCATAGCCAAGTGGCTAACAAAGGTAAACAGAAGTTTTCCCAACCTCTACTAATGAATGTTATCTTGTTTCAGGATACATACTAAAATCCTTTCATTTTCTCAAAAATCGACAGTGCGCCTTATGTATAAATTCTGGTTGTGCTTACTGGCCGCGAACCAATTTTATGTGGTACACAGCGCTCAGAAACCTTTCAAAAAATATTTTGGCACGACTTTGGTAAGCTACGAAACTGCACTGCTTGATAGATTGTTGGATCATTACGGCTACCGAGGAGCCTCGCGGAGTGATACGTACTCTGCTTCAACGTAATATTACCGTACTGTGTGTGTATAAGGACCACAAATGGCACCTGTTAAGAGACACGGTTATGAAGCGGATTTCAAACTCCAAGCTGTCAGTCACGCAGTAGAACTTGGGAACAGAGAAGCTGCGAAATCTGTCTTTGTTATAATGCTCAGCGTCTTTTAGTTTACATTTTGACTGCACAATTGTGAGCTTTTTGTTATGCACAAAAATAACATTGTTTTATTTTATTTATGGAGCATTATTATTTAATAAATGATGATAATTTATTTCTGAGTAATTTTTTCTTGTACATCTATGCTGTATGTTAATAAAAGTGCTTATGTGAGATTTGGGACACAGCTTTGACTAAGAGCTCTCTTTTTGTTCTTACTTTATGGCTTTAAAAAATATCAAGATGTATATCATATATCGCCAACCAGCTAAAGAATATCGAGATATGAATTTTGGGTCATATCGCCCAGTCCTAGTATAGGGTCTCTGCCTTCCAATGTAAAGCGCCTCTGGACAACAGATGTGATTTGTTGCTATAGTTACTGTTAAATTTAATCATTGATGTCCATTCAGGACTGGAAGTTTTATATTTCTTAATATCCATCTATACTCAATGTGAATTCCATACGTTTAACAGAGCTGTTTGACTGATCACCTAATGTGTGACAAAAGAATCCGCTATGATGCTATTGACAGTCTGCGCTCTCTCACCTGTCTGTAAAAGTTGGCCTTGTCTCTCTCACTCGTTTCCCGGTCCAGTGACACCTTTCTCCTCTGTTGCAGAAGTTCTCTGTCTCCCTGTGTTCTGTGTGCCCGACCGTTTCTCCGTCCCCTGGTTTCCCACGGCACCTGTGCAGAGTTTCTGTTTATCACCGTGCTCTTGTTTAAGTTGACTCCTCTCATTAATAAATCTTGTAAATAATTGATAACCAGCATAGTAGGCGCTTCTCCAACGTATCAAAATATAGTTTATTTTGGGGCGTTCGTGGCTCAAGAGTTGGGAGTTCGCCTTGTAAT